CTCTGAAACTGACCAAGCCACCCCAATTAAATGTTTCCTTTATAAGAGATGCCCTGGCCATGGGGTCTCTTTACAGCGATCAAAACCCTAACTAAGACACATTGGTACCAGATGGGCCTGACCACGTGTTTGCTTGGAGGAATTTGGACTTTGGCACTTTGAGTTAGGAAAGCAGTGGAATGGTTTGAGCACTGCTTAGTGGCCCATACTAGGAGGAGCATGGAAGACAGAGGTGCCAAGTTATATGAACGTTGGGGGCTCACTCGAGAGGTTTCAGAGAAAATTTTTAGTATGTTGCCTAGAGATTGTTCTGGTGATATTTTGGTGAAGAAAGTAGCTGCCTTTTGCCTTTGTCTAAAAAGTCTACCTGAGGCTAAAGTGAAGAGTTTTGGATTAATTTTTGGATTAATTCTCTTGGCAAGGGATTTTTTTTTAAGTGATAACCAAATAAAAATGTATCATGAAAAGGAGCAGGCTGAGCAGGGTAAATTATAAAAATTAAAATGTTGAGGTTAAAAGGAACACCAGGAAGTAGAATAGAGCTGAATTCTTTGTTCAAGAAGATATACAGATTGAGAAATGAAATAAAGGGAGTGATGACCTCAGGGCAAGATCCCCTCCCCCCAGCTAAATTTCCAACTTTTGAAAAAGAGCTAAAGTTTAGAGCTGGGTGTGGTGGTGGTGCACACCTTTAATCCCAGCACCGGGAAGGCAGAGGTGGGAAGATCTCTGAGTTTGAGGGCAGCCTGGTCCATAGAGCAAGTTTCAGAACAGCCAAGGTTAAACAGTGAAGGACAGAAAGCTTGTGAAAATGTAATTAAATGAGGGGGTTATGTTCCAGCCCCAGTAAGCAGCAGAACTCAGCAGTTTTGGCCACATAGTTCTGGCTTTAGAGCTTAGGATAGAAGAAACTGGTTATAGAATTTGCCTCCATGCCCCCCCCAAAAAAATCACTGAGGTCAGGCATGTGCCAGGGGTGTCCCTGAATGGAAGCCTAGTAGAGAGGCCATTGTGTGGAGCTGTGAAGTTGAAACCTGGATTGCCTTAGAGAACTCAAGATGTTAGAGATGTCAGTGTCGTGGGACACCTGCCTAGGAAAGCTGCTAACAGGCAGTGGAGCCAGCCCAAGAGAGGGAAGTGTGCTGCAGCAAACAAAGCTGGAAGGAATTGAAGATCTGAAGAGCGCTTTGACATCAGAAGTAGAGGTGCAGTGTTTGGAGTTTGCACAACTGGTTTTCAGTCTTGCTTTAGTCCAGTATTTCTTTCCCTATGTTTTGGAATGGCAATGTACATCCTGTGCCATTATATGTTGTAAGTATGTGACTTGCTTTTTTTATTTTGATTTTATAGGGAATTACAGTTAAAAGATTGTATGACTCTCAAAAAAGGCTTTGAACTTTGGACTTTTAAACATTGTTGAGACTGTGATAGACTATGGGGATTTTTTGAAGTTGGTCTAAATGTATTTTGCATTGTGATATTGTTACAAGCTTATGGGGGTCAGGGAATGGAATGTGGAATGTAATTGGTCCCCATAAATTCATAGGGAATGGCCTATTAGGAAGTGTAGCTTTGTTGGGGTACATATGGCCTTGTTAGGGGAAGTGTGTCACTGTGGGGGGAGAACTTTAAAGTTTCTTATGTGCAGGATACTGCCAAGCATCTCAGTTGACTTCCTGTGACCTGCACATCAAGATGTTGCCAGCACCACATCTTCTGGCATGCCACCATACCCCACCATGTTGATAATGGACTGAACCTCTGAAACTGTAACTGAGCCACCCCAATTAAATGCTTTCATTATAAGAGTTGTCATAGTCATGGTATCTCTTCACAGCATAAAAACCTTAACTCAGACAGGGTCCTCCTTGAAAACCAGAAAGGAAAGAGGGCTTACCATCCTACAGCCACAAAAAAATATGTTTGTGGCTCTTTCCTCTAGTTGGAAACATTGCCTTGTGGAGGAAGCAGAGAGCATCACAAGACTCATGAAATTCCCAATATTTGTGAGGACCCTGCTGAGTTTAATAATCAGTGATCACCCCCTTGGAAGGAGACTCATCAGTAGTTTAGCCACCCAAAGGCAGAGCGGAATCTCCATGGTGCAGCTTTGTGAGTCATCACCCTTAGAGAATAGGAGTTTGGTAATGCAGCTCCCTGAGTCATTCACGCTTCTGTACCTAACCCTTCATGCACTCCCCCATAAGCAGTCTCAAAGCTCACTGGTCACTCAGTGAGGCTTAGATGGAATTATGACTTTAGTTTGCCATCCCTCTCTCTAGCTAAAGGGAATAGAAAGAGTACCCACCCCGGAGAAAGTAATGCAGTAATTAGTTTTCTTTCACAGATGTGAATGCACTTGGAAGTAGGTTCTCGCTCAAACCTGGAGTCTCATCCTGCATAACTCCCTGTCTTTGATGGTACAAAGAGTCAAGCATAAAAATGATATGTGTAAATGTTCAGTCACGGCTCCAGAATCTACTGAAGGGCCTTTTGGAAATACTTCGTAAGAGGGGAATAGCATGCTCCCACTTGTAGTCTAAGCTGCATTACAGAAGTACACTCCAAATTTGATAGGCATGCGATAAAATGATTGTAATCTCTCCCCTCTTGTAGAATACAATAACTAAATCTGCTAAGGGGAATCTGAAAGATGCAATCCAACCCTTTCTTCTAATGACCAAGGAAACCAAAACCAAGAGGAGCTACAAAACAGGGGAAATGTGGAATCAGTCATTTCTCAGTGGGAATGCTCCAAGAACACTACTGTTTCTTATGAGTGTTCAGTCACCCCATCTATTTTTCCCTAACTCAAAGGGATGTGCAGACGGCTAAGAAATGCCTCCGAGGAGTTCAAAACAGCCCTTTGGAGACAAAGCCTCTGTGTCTGAGCTAAGAAGACCTAAACATTTGACAAACTGAGCACCATGGTTTCCATGGTGACCGCTGAAGAGACAGGTGCACATTCTAATGAGGCTGGCTAGCCAGCCAGCACCCAGGGAGCAAAGGCTTTGGGACATTCCAGAAAAACTCAGGCATACACAAAATCTGAGTGAGTGGCTAGCCTGCCAGCAAACTCTCTTCTTAGGAGGGACAGCAGCTCTGAGCTCTGTGTTTCCGCTCCTGGGTCAAGCTCTTGCCCACCCATTATTTCATTTGGCCATGACCAAAGCTTTCTAAAGTTGATTTGCACTCTGTGGCCTTTGGCAGATGAGTATGGAGGCAGCTTTGCGGGACTGCTGGGTTTATGAATGTGACCGTGACTCATCTGGGCATCTTGTTCTCCTCGCCCACTAATAAACCTCTCATGTTTCCCCTTTGAGACTCCCCCTGCATCGCTGAAAAGAAGCAGAATCCAGGGTTTGAGGAACATTCTGAGAGACCCTGTCTCCAAGGGTGGGGGTGTGCACTGACTTACAGCTCACCACTCACATATCCTTACAGATTCCAAAATGTTCTCAAAATGTCACTGTGGAAAATTGTATCATCAAAGGATGGAGAGACAGCTTTGTCTGCAAAGCGCTTGGCACACAGGCATGAGGACCCCAGTACTATCCCAGCACCCACATAGAAAGCTGGCATAGTAGTGGGCGTATATAATCCCAGTACTTAGGGGACAGAGACGGGACCTACCCAATTAAATCAGTGAGCTCTGAATTCAGTGAGACACTGAATCAAAAAAAAAAAAAAAAAAATAAGGTGGGGATCAACAGGGTAGACACCTGACATTAACATCTGGTCTACACACACACACACACACACACACACACACACACACACACAGTTAAGTTACCATAAGAAAGGCTTCTCTGATGAAGGACAAAAAGGCTTGAGAATGGCATCAAGACTGAGTAAAAGCTAAGCTAACCATGAGTTTTATGAAATCAAATGAATAGGTATGAGTTAAAGGGCATTGGCAACCTTAGACCACTCACATCCGTCCTACATGCCTGCTACAGAGGTCAAAAATCCCATCAGTAGAATAGCAAGAGACACAAAACATAGAACATAGAACAGAAAACAGAGAAATTTAGAATCCAGGAACCCTTGGAGATGCTGCAGGAATAAAGCAAGTGAAGGGAGTCTAAAATAAAACAGATGGGTTTGTATTTCTCTACATCATTTTAAAAACAGTAAGGAAACCATCTTCCATCTTTTTCATTTGGCATGTGTGTGTGTGTGTGTGTGTGTGTGTGTGTGTGTGTGTGTGTACGCCCTTGCACACACATACGAGAATATAGCCCACAGGTGGAGGTCCAAAGGTGATTTGTAAGACTAGGATCTCTCATTCCACCATGTGGGTCCTGGAGACTGAACTCAGCTTGTAGGAATTGTCCAGACAGTGACTTCACCCACCGAACCATCCAACCTGCTTATCATTTTCCATCTTTAAGGGAAGGTAAGCTATGGTTTAAATGACAGGTGTAGGCTAATGTGATCTTAAAAGGTTGGGCCTTAAAAGGGGTTAAGTCATGAGGGCTCCTCCTTCATCAATGAGGTAGAAGCCCTTATAAAAGAGTCATCCTGCAATGTCAACCCATTTCCCCTTTCTACCCATCCACTACAAGGTCTTGGCACCTCTTCTCTCTGGACCACACTGTGGCAATGCCACCTTGAAGGGGTGGGGGCACAGCTCTTCACCAGGCACCTGAACCTTGATCCTATATACCCAGACTTCAACCTGTGGGAAGTAAGTTTCTGTTGTTTATACGCCTTCCTGCGGTCGACCTTTCATTATAGCAGCTTAAACAGACTAAGACATTGAGTGTGCCAGACCTCTTGGGGAAACATATGCTGGTAATCGGTACTTAACCTTCTTGGATCCTGTAAGTACCACCAAAGGCAGGAAGTTATTCAACTATCAGTGGCCAAGAGATAAAAACACAATCATAGTATTCAGCTATTTCATTCAGACCAGAGCCTTCGCTGCGGCTTCTAAACCCTATTAGGCCAAAGCCAATGGATCCCGTAATGGGGGTTTAAATTGGTGCAGTACTCACTCGAAAAACCTTTTCCACTCTTGCAATGCTTTTGCCAAAGATGGTTCCAAGTTGGTCTCCAATGCCAGCCAATAAGAAACCAAAGAGCGGGATCCCAAAGATGGCATATAAAATACAAAAGATTTTGCCTCCTTCAGTGCTCGGAGCAATATTCCCATACCCTGGAGAGAAAGAGTAGAAAGACAAAGAGGGAGAGACGTGAGCTGGCAGAGAAAGTAGAGCATTGGCCAAAGATTCCTCAGAATTCATGTTCTCCAAAACCTTTTACAGTTCGAAACAGTGCCCCCTTGCTTCTCTCCCCGTAAATAGTCTCCAGGTTCCTGAGAACCTAATACACTTAAGAAACGTGTGGTCAGCCTGAATTGCATTTCCGATGGAAAATTGATACTTTTCTCTAAAGAAGTATCACACAGCATGGACACGATTGAACATGTTTCATCATGTTTCACCTTTGCTGCAGTAGACAATGAGCCAGTACAGTACTGTCCTGTGGGCTTCCTCTTTGCCTGGACTCACCATATTCAACATCTGCTCTCATAAAGTAGTAGGCACTGAGCATTAAAGAGGAAATATGGTCTACGACAAACTCACAAGAGATAAAGGACTTGTTCTTCCCTAAGCTGGGAAGCCTGGTAATGGGGGGAAATGAGTAAGCAAAGGCTCTGTGTCTCTTTCCCTCACTGACAGTGACGTCCAGCTATGCCCAACTCTCTTTTCTAGCAATGGCACACAGTCCATTGTATCTCCACCCATTACCCTTGCTCCCAGAGCAATCAGAGCTAAATAAATGCTTGTGGATAGAATAGATGTTTGAACACAGAAGATTCTATCTATAGTCGTGTCAATTAAAATGAGTTTCACATTGTATAGTTGTTTGAAAATATGAACATCTGCATTCTTAAGAGTTTTGCAATTATGTAAATAATTCAAGTATAGTGAGTTTTGGGCTTTGTGGTGGTTTGAAAGAAAATGGCTCCTCCAGGATGTATCCCTGGTGCACAAAAGGACTTTGCAAACATATCCCCCATGGAGGGATAACTGCCTTATTCTAGAGATAGGAGAGAAGCCCTAGTCCCTACTTCACAGGACCTGTCAGATCTACATGACCCCAACTGGATGGCATTCCCCTACATATGGTATTGTGGTGGGGGGTTGGGAGGGGAGGGTGTTTAGAGTGCATGGGAGAGGGTAGAGAGGGCAAAAGGGAGGGAAGGAGGGAGGGAGGGCTGGAGGGGAGGGAGGGAGGGAGGGAGAGGGAACTGGGATCGACATGTAAAATAATAAATTTAAAAAAAAAAAACGCTTTGACTCCAAAATTTAAGTTGAAGAACAAGTTACTGGGGGAAAGTATTTCTATTTTTGTTTCCACAGAAAATGAAAAGATGTGGATTCCTTCCAGACTAATGTGGTTTGATCACACCAGACCTCCTGAAACAGAGTACAAGCTGATCCTACATTCCAAACAGCTGGACAAAACAGCCCTACAGACTACAGCTAGGATATCTGAATCTTCTTCGAATCCCCCAAGACAGCGCCCCTTACCAGCAGGAAGTAGTTTGGAAAGAACGACGCCCAAATTCCCAAATATTGTGTATAAATGTTTGTTTTCATTTAATTGGACTTTGTTATATAAAATTAAATAAAAAAGAAAAAGAAAAAAGAAAATGGCTCCCATATGCCCATAGGGACTGGCACTGTTAAGAGGTGTGGCCTTGTTGAAATAGGTGTGACCTTGTTGGAGGAAGTATGTCAGTGGAGACAGGCTTTGAGGTATCAGGTGCTCCAGCCAGGCTCAGTGTGGCAAGTCTCTTCCTGCTGCCTGAGGATCCAAATGTAGAGCTCTCAGATCCTCCTCTCCAGCACCATGGCTGCCCAATGGGTGTGTTCAGTGCCACAGGTGCAGACAAAGTGAATATCTCACTACAGTGATGATAATGGACTAAGCCTCTGAAACTATAAGCCAGCCCAAATTAAAATTTTTGTTTTATAGCAGTTGCTGTGGTCATGGTGTCTCTTCACAGCACAGAAACCCTAACTAAGATAGGCTTATTCCACATAAATGGGGCTGGCAATAGTATTACTGCAAGAAAGAGGCTTATAATATTAGTGCGATTTACATAGCAATTGTAATTGTACAATACCAAGCAATTGATATTCATTTACTTGTCAATTGTCATTACACTCTTACAATAGCCACTTAACCTTCTCTCCAATTCAGGAAGTTCAAGTGGGACTTGTTTCTGAATCCATGCAATAAGTGAGGTATTGGTCCATGGCAAGAGACAGCTTAGAGAACATAGCACAGAAAAGAACAATGTTCTCAGCATGGCCAAGAAAGAAAACTATGCTCTTGGATGTCCATCATTCATGTTCCCATGGGCCTGCAGAGCTTGCTCTTATATTCTGCCTTGGGGATGAGCCACTTGGCTGTTTTCCTTAACAATTTTCTGTTCAGAATCATTCCAACCTCTTACCACAAATTATTTAAATTGCACTTTCCATTTCTTAGATGAGTGTGCAGGCAAGACTTCCTAATCTTATTTCCTTTTGCTCACTATCATATTGACTTAGATGTGCAACAAAACTCCTGGGACTTTTTCCCTAACATTTTCAGGAGCTTGGGCAAAATGATCTGGCCAAGCATACTCACCTGGAATAATCCGATTTTCACTGACTTACTGATTATGTTAGAAAGAGAACAAGTGTGTCTCTGTGGCTTCACATTACAGGAGCTTAAGGTGCGTCTTGGAAACATTCTAGAAACTTATAGAGATACTAACAATTTTAGCTTGACTGTCTCACAAACAGCCCCATTTTGGGGAATACAGGTTTTCTTTTAGTCCATCTCAGAAGAAATATTGCAGATGTGGGCAAACTAAAGCACTGAGCCTACTGAATATGCATTTATTAATCCAGACAAACTCTACACATATCCTCCAGTGTGTTTAGAGAGCATGCTGGCATTACCTGAGAAGCACCAGTGAAAAACAAGGAGGTTTCACATCCACCTCAAAATAGCCCACTATCCTTAGACCTGTGGGATCTCTCCAAGTCTTATGGTATCAGAAACATCCAAGAGAAATGTGAACAAAAAGAGTACTTGCTGGTAGCAGTAGTAGAACGGGCTAATATTTCACAGGTCAGAATACCACAATAAATAAAATTGAAATTCTCCAAGAAGTGTGTTAATAAGGCAATATTCAAATATATCATGTGTGCATGTATGTATGTATGTATGTATGTATATAGTAGACCAATATGGTGTGCATTTGTGTGTGCATTTGTGTGTGCATTTGTGTGTGCATGTGTATGTCTCTGTGTGTGTGTGTGTCTGTGTTTCTGTGTGTTTGTCTGTGTGTCTGTGTGTGTGCTGTGTTTGTGTGTGTGTGCTGTGTCTGTGTGTGTCTGTGTGTCTGTGTGTGTATACCTTGAACTGTGTTAGCTCAATGACTTGAGTGAGTTCACGGTCATGGAGGCTGGGTGGCAAATACAGTGCCTCTTAGGCAGAAGACACCACTGAGGCTGAGAAATAGAGAGAGCTCACTTGCTAGAGGAGCAACTGGTCAACAGGAACTAAACTGGCACATCAGAACCAGATGTAAGGGAAGCAAAGTTAGTTCAAAAGTCCCTCTACCAACCAGCTGCTTCTGACTCTTCACAAAAGATGGCCAGCCCAGCAAGAATGCTGAGAAACAGCGAGGTTGTTACAACAGAGAACCAGATGGGCCTTGGCTCTGATCACCCATAAATAGAAAGCATCTCAGTCCTTAATGAAAAAACAAATGTTTAAAAACAGTCCTGAGATGCAAAGAACTTTCCACATGCTTATGTGCCAAATCAAATCTTTGCCACACTGTGACTGTGGGACCAACCTCTGTGCTAGCAGGGATGTTCTGGTGCATGACTGAACTGTGCAAGTCAAACAGGACCTCACACTCAGAAAGGTCCTGCATTGGGGATGGGAAGTCTTTCTGCACAAGAATAAGCACTGGGGAACCCAGGAGAAGTTAAATAGTTTATCTCTCCAATGGAATGAGAGACTTAGCTCTTCCTCCTGGAATGCTGGGAATGGATCTAGTTTACAACCTGGTGACCCTTTGCCATCTGATGAGCCAGACTCTGACCTTATCTCCCACAAATTATGCTCTGCTTATCCCAAACCTAAATCTTAAACATTAGTTTTAGTCCATAAAATTCAACCTAATGAGTGATATCACTTAAACTTTACCGCTAGGTGACTTCTATGTTACGTAGGCCCAGGCCAATCCTGATATGAACAGGCATTATGTTTTCCTCAATTATACTCCCTAGACCCTAAATCTTGGGCGCTCGATCTTCGTCAACATACCCACCTTTGTGAAAAAACAAAAACAAAACAGATATACTTTGTAAAGAATAGCAATGTAAACATGCTTCAAATTTGTTGTGTACTTGGGACTGAGCAAATTGTTATCAGAAAACTTTTTTTCCAAAATTGTTCTGTGCTTAAATATGGCTAAAGTAAATGATCTGGGTATCAGACTCTTGAAGTCTTGGCCTAGCATTGGTTATCTAAATCAGATTGAACCAGAGTTTCATTCTTCCCTCAACCATGTCATTTCCCTGACAGCTATAAGCCTGAAGGGACTTCCCACAGTCCTGCTCTGATGCTTCCATGTTGACATTCTAAATGACTTTTCAATAATAAACCATGTTGTCCATTTTGCACTGAGCCCTGCTGGTCCTGGTAAATGACACTTGGTGGTAACACGAGGTTCCACTGCTTACTTATTTTGACATAACGGGTAAGTTGTTTAACTTTTCCAGGCCTCATTCTTGCCTTTAGTAATAATGTGATCATTTCCTGCCTTTCTAGAAATTATGTTTTGTGGAAAAGCATCTGCATACAGGAGCAAACATCAACCCTCCAGCTTACAAATCTTGTTCCTATAGATCTACCAGCAGAAGCAATAATCAAAGGCAAAGGGGGCTTCTCCTATTAGAATCAGATATGAAGAAATAAACAGGTGCAAGCCACCTTTGATCCAAACCAGTCTTCCTTCTGGTCTGGCTACTGGTTAGGAAAGGTTTCCTAACTGTTTACTTTGCTGCATCACCGTTCCCAGATGCCCATAGGAGACTAGTTCCAGGAGCCCCTGCAGATAACAGAGTTCATGGATATTCCATTCTCTTATATAAACACCAAATTTGCATGTAAACCTAAACACTTCCTTCCACATAATCTAAACTGCTTACAATACCCAATGCAATGTAAATGTTATGTAAATTGCTGCTAGACTGTATTGTTTAAGGGATGATGAAATGGAAAAACAGTCCAGTGTGCATACCATCTTTTTCATTTGAATATTTTCAATCCGCAATTGGTTGATTCTATGATATGAAAACACAGATTCAGAGGGCTAATGGTATGAGCATAATCTCTGTATATATCAGCACACAAGAGGCTCTTTTAAAAAGAGTATTGACCATTCCTACACACATGACTCCATGCTGCTCATAACAGTCTTTTTGGAAAATGATCTGGCAAGTGCTGAAACACTCTGCGCCCTTTAACAGAGCAACTTCTTTGGACCTTTTCCAAGGAAATAACCAACTTCCTGCATAAAGATTTTCACTGTGATGTTAAAAGGGTCACAAAAGTAGAAACTTCTTAATCCTTCCACAACATGTGACTACATTATGGACAGTGAGCCTGAGGGGTCCATCAAAGACCGGCTTTGCCAAGAAATCTGAAGCTCCGGTGTTGCTAATAAGGGAGATGTGAACAATATTAGTCTGCAAACTATATGACCTGAAGCAAGCAGACCAGAAATGGACTGCACAGTTAATGAGATAAAGCTTCCCAAGATAATGGTACCACTTCCCTGACTCCTGGAGAGTGGGCAACTTCTTAGGGACAGCTGAAGAATGACCAGCCGTGAGACTACTTGCAAGTCTCCTTGCAAGCCTTGGAATTAACTTACCATAAGTACATGGCTTCTTTTTAAAATTTGGCAATTTGTTTTCTCACCTCAATCCTTCTTATATTGCAACAAGCTACTTTTTTTTTAACTTCTCTAGCTGTATGGCTTTATTAAATTTTTTAAAAAAAAATCTCTACTCTGGAATTAAATTTACTCAACTAAATAGTACTCAACTTACAATTCATTATGTCTTGGTTAAGAGAGAGGGGAAAGTGACATTTTCTAAGTTGCATAGAACAAGAACCCAGCCTGCTATAGACTCTGAGTGGCGGGTTATATTTTTGTTTGTTTTTGTTTGCATACTTGTTTTGTAGTGGTTGCCTGTTGGTAGACACTCTTATGAGTTGGAATAAAGGTACCAATCCTATACACAACTGGTCAGGCACAGTGGCCAGCCTCTTTCTGCAGAGGGAACAGTCTCTCAAATAGCCAAGACAAGGACACATGAACCCAGAGGCTCATCCAACAGGGCAGCTCTGCCTGAGACTTGAATCAAACTCATGTGGCCCAAAGGTGGCAGCTATAGTGGCCAGAAGAGTCAGGCACTGGTCACGGGGTCAAAGGAAATTCATGACCCATCTTGGAACTCTCTTCTATCTATGCACATTGGTTAGGAGTGTTTAGATCATAGAATCCAGTGCAGACTAGCCCAAGCCTAAACAGTGAGAAATCTCAAAGACTCTGGAAAAAAATAAGAAATTTAATATGTTTCTTAGTATTTTGAAAATAGCTCCATTCAGAGTTCACAGGACATGACCAGGATCCACTTACCTCTAGTCCTTTCCTTACTCCAATAGTGTTAGTTCAACTGTAGACAGAGCAATCTAGCAAGGGAAGACAACAAGGAGCAATGTAGGGGCTTGATTCCTCTTTGCCCAGCTTTACCACCAATAAGAAAACGAGGAAGACATTCCCTCCAAAGTTTAAGCAAAATCCAAAGTTCTCATCACCCATCTTTGAACTGGTAACTCTGGCCACAGACTGAATTTCTTTGTATAGATAATGTCATTCTTCTCCAGAGCTAAGGGTCATGAGTGTGAAAGTGGGAGTCCTGACTTGAAAAGTGAGATTAGATGTACTTCTGTTAAGAAAAAGTTGAACTTTCATATATATTTTTTTAATGATGGGTGGCTGGAAAACCAAGTAAGTGTCAATAAATACCATTAGCGCTTTACTGAAAATCCTACCAATACTTGGAATCCTACCAAGCATGGAATAGATATTGCCCTTTTAATGAATCAAACAAAGCTCTAATTTAGTAACTTCATACAACACGGAAATGAATATGTGTTTTTTCAATCTATGGTATGTGATATCCCCTGGTAGCTCATGGATATAATGCTAGCACTTAAGAGTACTTTCCAAAGTACACCTTGTGAAATGGTCAAGGCTCTCAACTTTAATTATTTTACAAATCCTTTTAAAAATGCATGATGCCTTTCTTCATTCTAATAAGCAGAATGCCAAACACGTTCTAACATTATGTCATTCTTATCTGATGTATGTCTGCAATGTCCTTGGGTTGGCTGAGGTTCATAGTGCTTGAGGGTCCAGGCTACATGCTTTTCTCCATTGGGTGTAGTGAGTCTGTGAATTCCAATGGCCTAACCTGATCCAAAGGTCACAGAGGCTTCTAGGTGCAGACATACATGTATAATGACCACTTGCAACTCTGACCAACAGATGGTATTAATGAATTTAAGCATTGCAAAGTAAAATAGCTTATCATCTAATTAGATTAAGAGAGTTGCTGGTTAATTTTAGGTGTTTACTTGACTGGGTTATGAATACCTAGAAAACTGGCAAAGCATTATTACTGGATATGTCAATAAAAAATTTTCTAGATGTTTCCACAGGGCATTGCCCTGTAAATTGATGAACTAAGTGTGGAAGATCTATCCTCAATGTGGGCAGGATTGTTGACTGAGGGCTTATATAGAACAAAAAGGGAAAGTTGTAGAAAAATATCTCTCTCTCTCTCTCTTCTCTCTCTCTCTCTGCCTGTGTCTTCTCCTACATAGTCATATACAGCTCAGATACATTTTGCTTCTCCTACCCTTCAACTTCTCTGGCCTGTAGTCACCAGGATTTATTCCACTGGCCTTGTGGATTTTCAACATTTTAGCCTCAGCCTGAGAGTTATACCATCAACATCCCTGTATCTGAAACCTTTGAACTCAAACTAAACCAATCCAAAAACACTCCAAGGCTTAGTAGCCTGCCAAAGGGACCTGTCTTGGGCCCATGGTTGCAGAAGCCAATTCCACTGCCCCATGGCTATGCACATACCCTCTCATGTCTGCTCCCCTGAAGACCTCGACTGATACAAGTCTCAGTAAGAATAACAACTCTCTTTCATTCTAAATGTTTGTTTCACATATAACATTCTTGATTTCACTAGTGTAGAAGAGCATGGACCTTAAGATTAGATAACACAAAGACTAAAATGTATGCCTTTAAAACAACCCTTAGCCTCTAAAACATGCACCTATAAAAAATTGACTGCCCACACTCTAAACCAAAGTTAAGAGTTTTCAAAGGGAGTAGCTGGGCATGAGAGAGAATCAGAGTAGAAATTCCTCCCAGAAGGTTAAAGCCAGCTCACAGTCTCCCTTGCCACCATCTCTGCATTCTAGAATCACAGATGTGCACCCTCACCTCCAGATTCTCCAAGAGCCACTCTTAACTTCTGAAGGTGATTTCCAGCCAAACAAGAGAGGACAGGGAACTAATGTCCTCTAATGATTATTAAACTAATAAAAAAAAAAAAAGAGGAGATGCACCAACACTGACACAGGTTTAACATAGAGCAAGTGTGAAGGTGGGGGTGAACGAATAAAATATAAATCACGTGTTCTTGTCTCTTAAGCAGAACGGGTGATGCTCAGAGCGGTGCAAAAGGAAACTGAGATACTGGACAAGCTTACTACTGACTCACTACGTGACTAGATAAGAGCTCATGGGTATGACATAAAGCTGACAAATCACACAGTAGAAGCCACACTTATCATTTTAAGGCAAACATTGACGAGATGGTGTCAGGCAAAATTGTGTGGTGGGGAAAGATTGGAAAGGGAAATGTCATTCCTCATAATCAGAATCTATGCACACTGGCTAATGACTAGAACATGAAAGTTATTACATACTGTTATGATTATCAAGTACCTGAGTATCTGAAAATATAAAAAAGTAATGCATAAAATGAGGCTGACACTGCCACAGGAAAGCAGTAATGAAGGTCTATATAAAGGTCAGCTGCCAAGAGCATGTGCAAGCCTCAGCTTCAGGCTCTTCCTTGGCATTTGGGTTCGTCCAGTTGAAATGCTTTTCATTGTGGAATCTCCGCCATGCTTCCGTGTTTACTGAAAGCAGCCACAACAGCTGTGATCACTTGACCAAGTTGGGAGAACCTGGTCCCACATCTTAAGAAGACAAATTGTGTCTAACCATTCCTCAGAAGGGGCTGCAGGGGGGAAAATAACATTAATAAATGAGCAGATACCTATGGTTGTGATGACAGTTCCAGCAAAGAAAAAGGCACTTCCGAGGTCCCAGTGACTGCTGCTGTTGGAAGAGTTTCCTACTGGGCTGACCCCTGCATTGTCAGCATCGAGGGCATGCTGCAAAGAGAGGGAAAAGCATAAGAATAGTGAGTTAGAAGGGATATCTTTAAAGCTTCTGACAGATTGCTGTACTCCTCAAGAACCTGCGAGTTGAAGCAGAAGGAAGGACACACATCAAATGGCATACCGTACACCTGTGAAAATCAGAAGATGACTTTTGAGTGGGAGAAAAGTCTAAAAGTTTAGACTAATGATATCAAACGTTATATAAACTTATATAAAACTCACAGGCCTGGGTGACCTTAGTTATACAAAAACACATACATACTGCTGTGTGTCCAGATGGACGTCTGGTAGAACGTTCGCCCAGAGCGGTTGTTTTTGGAAAAGAGGGTTATAAGTTTCCTTTTCACTTGCCTTCTTTCTGTATTGCTAAGATACTTCCACTGAGTTCCTTCCAATAGCAAAAGAGTTTAAAACTCAGGCACCAGCTCAGACCAGCATGGTTCTACCTGTTAATAATACCAGATTCTTAGGCACTTTACCTCAACCTCTCTATGCCTAATTAACATATTTTCAAATTGTGGGTGGGACCTTCTCTTGCACAACTATGAAAATTTAACGAGGTTGTCCCTTTAATATTCTCAGCCTATGCCTGTCTATGTTAAGATTTACCAAAGACAGCTATGTGATTCAGGGACCTGATTTTTCAATGTATAGATATCATCAGGTGGACGAACAGGAACAAAAATCACTGTGATATCAATAGGTTTACTGGGGCCACCCTCATGCAGTTATGAGTGAGTTATGCAGTACATGGCTCTGACATCAGTTTCATGAGTATCACTGCACACACTCACCCTCACACACTGTTGACATTGGGTTTGGGTGGTGGGATGGGCAGACACCACACAGCGACCATGTGGAGCCCAGAGAACAGCTTGAGGGACTCAGGTCTCTCCTTCCATCATGCTGCTTCTGCTGGGGAACTCAGATCATCAGGAATGGCAGGGACCCCCTATTACCCTGGGAGTCCTGCCCTCTTTTTTTTTTTTTTTTTTTTTTTTTTTAATCAGCTGGAATGACTCCTCAGTGACCACTGGAATCCATACTCTATCTCAGTATGGTCATTACCTTTTCCACAATGGTGACCCATACTCATCTACCAGCAATGGAAATGCCCCCAGTCCATGGGGTGCTCCCTCCCTCCCTTGTGGTTTTGATTACACTCCCACAAACTATGCCCATTATTATTCAGGCCCCCCCAAAGCCTCAATCTATACGTTACAGTTCCACAATTGCCCCCTCCCCAAGCTTTGCTTGTGCACCAATTCTACTAAACGCTAAAATTCATTCCCAGCTTCAGCATGAGCAGAGGAAGATAAACCCTCGCGGGGACCCTTCCTGAACTGTCCTGCTATCCTGCTTCAGGTGGGGTGCAGAAGGAGTTGCCATCATGTCTCAGGCACCTGCAGTCCACATCTGTAAGCTGTAAAGATAAACCTTCCACCTGGGAACTACATGGAGGAGGTGACCCAGGCATGAGATACTTAGAAAGATTGAGACTCCACATCCTGGGCAACATTAGAATTACCCAGTGTAGAGAGGGCAAGGCACACATAATGAGACACATTTCTATTTGTCCTCAACAATGCCCGTTAGGCTTAGCTCAAGCAGACACATAGTGGTTGTCACAAACCAGAGGACACCTGGAAAGTCCCTGTTCTCTTCAGTATGAATGCTTAATAAGATCACTCTAGCTTTCTAGGACAAGGATAAGTGACCTGTTCTATAAACTGCCACACACTGAATATTTTATTTAGCCTTGGCAGGTTACATAGAGTTTCTGTTGCTTATATTTTTCTTTCTGTTATTTTATAAATAACTGCTTAAATATGCAAAAGTATCTTTCCTACTTCAGAGGTGGCATGAAAACGGGCCGTAGAATAGATTTTGCATTCAAATAAGACTGACTAGGTGACAGGGTAAAGACATTTTCCATTTAAGTCTTTATTATAATCCTCCTTGCCTCTAGGAATACTAAGTATTTTGAAGGGTAAAGCTAACTGTGGTTTCTAACATAAACACTGGCACCCCCAGAATGTAAGAGCAGCTGCATGGGATGTGCACAGATGTTCTTGCCAAAGGTTTGAATCACGTTTGAGTGACAGGATTACTTATTAAGCCAGCACGGCATTCTGATCTACTGTGCACTGGTACGTGTACATGTGTGTATATGTGCGTGTGGAGAGCAAAAGTCACCTGTGGGTGTTGTCCTCTATCAGCTTTTTTTGAAACAAGATATCACACTAATCCTGGAGCTCACCAACTGTCTAGACTGGCTGGCCAGCAAGCTCTGAGATCTACCTGTCTCCCCAGCCTCAATATAGACATTACATATGCATGCCATTCCACCTGGTTTGTTATGTGGAGGCTGTGGTCCTCATACTTGAATAGCAGGCTCTCTGCCAACTAAGCCATCTCCCCAGCCCCCACTCTGCTTTTGAGGGAGACAGGTGGGGTGTTTTAGCCAGTGCTAAAACCTCACTTTCACTGTGCTGTGTGAGAGCTATCCAACCAGGTCAGACCATCTTAACCAAGAATTATATCCATCCTTATTATCTTCCACCTCTGATGGCTCCACTCACAAATTATACCTCCAGGACAGTTCTAGGCCTCAGTCACTCAGGCCTCAAATCACACCACCAATATTTAATAATTTACATCTTCCATAAAACTTGAAAGAGTGTTTATGTTCAGTCAATTCTCACAGTACTGAGAATTACTCACAAACATCATAAATAAACCCAGCGCTGCACACAGAATACAGATTTGCAAGAAAGACAAATGCGAGTGATTATTGTGACATCAAAAGATCTGAGTTAAGATCCCTTTTCAAGTTTCACTTTCCTTGAATAGTGCCATTAATGAGTATCTAATGTTTTTGCATGTAACCCTCAAAGGAAGTGTTTATCAACTGAAAGGGAAGGAAACTAACACTCATCAGGCACCTGCATTGAGCCAGGTATATAAGAAGTACCACTAGGTTTATTTTTTCCCCAAGCCCAAGGAAAAGGCATCATTCCTACTTCAGTGATGCTGCAACTGGCATGGGAAGTTGAGTAATACATCCGAGATCTCAAAGCCAGAAGGTAGAGAAGTCTTGACTCAAGCCCTGTCTAGCCCAAAGTGGATAGTTTTACTTGATTCTCTACACATGATTCCCAGAATGCACTCCACTTCTTTTACTTCCCTCCTTACATACATGAAGATGAAGCATGGCCATGGTCCTAGACTGTAGGCAGGTGGGATCTCAGAGGGGTCAGTATTTTGGGTACTTGCAAGGAGCACCTGCAACTGATAGCCAACTCTGTCCGGTTTCATATCTGTGAAGTAAGCTCCCTTCTTTCCCCTAAATCATATAGAAAATGACAGTGTACCCAAATGCCCAGGGAAGCAGTTCTATGGAAATTCTATATAAGGCTTGCTTTGGGTACGTGGTTCCACTGATAACCTGAACTAAATCACTAGGAACTAGACTTGGAAGTAGAAAGAAGGTAAAAACATGCTTTCCAGTGAGCCCCCAGACTATTGGTAAGGCTTTAGACATTTGATTCTATCTAAAATTAAAATGCGTGGCCAGGCAGTGATGGTAGAGACAGGTGGATCTCTGAGAGTTCAAGGCGGCCAGCCTTGTCTACAAAGAGAGTTCCTGGACAGTGAAGGAGCCAAGGCTACAGAGAAACCCTGTCTTCAAAAACCAAAACCTATACCAAAACAAAAATAATAAATAAATAAAATTAAAAAGACCAGTAAATCTGGTTATAACTACTATTACTTGAATTTGGAGGATCACTCTTAAAAATGTAACTGATTAAAAAAAGGAAAGAAAAGAAACACTGTATTTCTGAAGTACCATGTAATACTGCTTTGGTATATAGTATTCAGTATTTAATGTTCAAATACAGTAAACATATTTACACCCCCCAAATAATTATCATTTACTTTTAGGGAAACTACTTAAAATTTATCTAGTGTTTTAAAATTATATACAATAGGGACACTGTTTTAACTCAATGGCCGCAATTCTAAATGAGTCTATGGTTTTAACATTAATTTGCATTTAAAATTAACTTTATTCATTTTTAAAGTATTGTCTAATGATTTTAATGGTTTGAGCACAAGTGAACATTTTATAATTAAATGAATTTTCTTTAATGCTTTTATTATCTTTGTGTTCATGCTACAAAAGTCAAGCTAAAGCTGGGTATGGGAGTATACATCATTAATCCCAGAACTTTGGAAACTGAGGCAGGAAGATCAGAAGTGCAAGGCTACATATAGAGTTCTAAGTCAACCAGGACTTCATGACACTGTCTCAAGACAAGAAAAAGGGGGTGGGGGAGATAAGAAAGCATCCAGGATATCATGACCATTTGAGTATACAGACAAGGATGACACAAATGTGTACAGTTGTTTAAAGGACCCTATATGGGGCTGAGGAGACAGCTCAGAGGTAAAGCACTTGCCTAGCTGTTTATGGCTCCAGCTAGGTTCAACTCCAGTACCTCAAAAAATTTAAAGTTGGATGTAGTGGAAATTCAACCTACATTAACATCAACTTGGGTCACAACCTCTGACTCAGTGCGCATCCTCTGTTCAACTACAAACGCAACCACTATCAAGTCCAAGAGGTATTACAAGGAGACCGATGGCAAGTGGCGGATAGATGATAGATTACTGGTAAATTAGGTATTGATAGATGAGAGCTATATCATAGGAAATGGGTAGATGACAGGTATGTCATTGATAGATGATTCGTAAATAGAAAAAAATAAACATATACATGGATGATGGAGAGAAAAAAGTGGGGAGGGGGATCTACATATAAAAAGACTATATATTTCTAATTCCACTTGTCATAGTTCCTGTTTGGCCCCAGAGTTGGAATTCTAGCACCAACCTAGCTGCCTAGCAAATGACTTAAGAGGGCACACTACAGCAGGTGTTCAAATGAATGAACAAGTTAAGCTAATAGACATAAACACACAATCTTT